CATCATTGTTGGCAAAGGACGCAGCACAATCATCATCATCATCATCAGTGTCATCATGATCATCATCAACACACAATGTTTGGCACGTCAATCCGGATGCAAAGCCATCTGGCAAGTCTGCGTCGTCAGAAGGTTGGCAGGCAAAGTTGTTGTTGACGTCGCTCACAGAAATCAAATTGATGTGACTACCAGCACATGCTGCTTGGACCACGGGAGGAGGACCATCACATCCATCGGCAATGATCTGAAAGCGACCCTTGTAGGTAGCAAGAAAATTAGCGCCGGTTCGGTTTCCTTTCGTGGCAGTCGTGGTAGCATTTGCAGTATCTTCTACTAGCAACAAAGGCCGTCTCGGCTGGGAATTGAGAGATGATCCATCCACTACTGCATCCCCAATTGCCTGGATACAAACTGCTTCCAAGGCAACCGCAACAAGGAGGAGGAAGGGTATCCTCGTCATGACCATAATATTGACACTGCCTTTGTTCCTGTCTGCGATTATCATGAGCTTCTGAGGAGCCTTCGAGCCTTCTTTAGGAAGAGTGAGGGCAGCATCAAGACGTGGTTGTTCAATTTGGGCGAAAGATCTTTGCGTGGGAACAGGACAGAAGTCTTTTCCCCCACCTAAAAACCCTTTTTTCCTAAAAGGCATCAATCGTACTCTTGTATAAGCCTGTTGTACCATTTATGTAAACCGAGCCGAGCTACGTCGGCGTTTCTCTTCAGTCTGCCAGTCAACCGTTTTGGGATGCCACGATCTTTCGCCTTCGTCCAACAGCCCAACCACAAAAACACAAAAAAGAAACATGCAGGTATCGCGCGAAGCGCGAAGTATCGTCCCGGGGGAGAGGAGGAGGGGGCCGCGCAGCGGCCTAGTAACAAAGAGGGGAAGAGGAGGGGAGACCAACAACAATAAGAACAACAACAAAATCACGACTTTTCCCATGGCGTCGCGACCCATCCCGACGACCGCAGGAGGTCCTAAGAGATAGTAGTAATAGTAGTAATAGCAGTAATAGATGAAGTGTTATTGTTGTTGACTGTCGTTCATAGGATTTCACCATGGTCGCGATGTTTTTGTCTTGTTGTTGTTGGAATTGGGTGTTTGGGGGCGAATTAGACGACAGTTGCGATTCTTGGCTCTAAGTAAGGAGTCGCGGTCCGTTATATCTTTACTCGTTTCTTGATGTTTCCTGAATAAATCTCTGAGCGAGCCAGAGACCAAGTGAAAAAGTGAGACTCTGTCAACGGATGCCCTGGGACTGATTTAGTGACACTCGCGATTCACCAGAAGCAACTATTTGGCTCAGCGTGGCCTTTATTCATTTTCTGACAATGACCATGGTGTAAAACGGACCGATAGCAACATGCCAGCTAACGACGTTACATGGACTCGCAACTCAGGAGGGCACCGCCGCAACCCAAGCGAACAACCAGCCATTCAGCTATTTGACAAAGTGATGGATCCCGTTAAGTTTGGATCGATTACTGTGGAGGACTTGGTTGGTGACCATGGTCTCAATCTGATGAGTGACTTCTGTACTCGCATCGGTCAAGATCCTCCAATCGGCCAGAGAACCAACAAGCCAATGGTCGCTTCCGCAATATGCAAGTATATAGAGGCCCTGTGCAAGACACTTAGAACAAAGCATGGCCGGTCGCAACAATTTTTGAATTTTCCTCTATTTCCTCCTTCCGATGTTAATGGCCTCAAGAAAACTTTCACAGATTTGCATGGCCGAACACTCATGCAGGGAACGGACGATGATGCGATCCTGCGGGACTACTACCCCATTCCTCGTGAACATTCGCCGAGGACCAAGCTAC